GGGGCAGGTGGGGGCACCACGGGGGCTGGGGGGCGTTGGGAGGAGAATTGGGGGTCTGGGATAAGAGTTGGGGGTCTGGGATAAGAGTTGGGGGTTTGGGATAAGAGTGGGGGTTGGGATAAGAGTTGGGGGGTTTGGGATAAGAATTGGGAGTCTGGGATAAGAATTGGAGGGTTTGGGATAAGAGCTGGGGGTTTGGGATAAGAATTGGGGGTTTGGGATAAGAATTGGAGGCTGGGGGGCAGGAATTGGGGGTTGGGGGCAGGAGTTGAGGGATTGGGACAAAAATTTGGGGGTTTGGGGCAAGAAATAGCAGGGCGTGGAGCAGAAATTTGGGGGGAGGGGGCGCAGGTTGAGGGAACAGTTTGGGGGTCCCTAATCCTGCATCCCCCTCAGATCCAGACCTTCCCCACCACATCCTCCGGTTTGGGGGGCAGTTTGGGGGCTGGGGGGTTGGTTTTGGGGTCCCTGACCCTGCATCCTCCATCAGATCCAGACCTTCCCCGCCAGATCCCCAGTTTGGAGGGTTGAGAGGGGGGCAGTTTTGGGGCTGGGGGAGTTTGAAAGGGTCTGGGGGTGGTTTTGGGGGTCCCTGACCCTGCATACCCCCATCAGATCCAGACCTTCCCTGCCACATCCCTGGTTCGGGGGCAGTTTGGGTTTGGAGGGGGCAGTTTCTGGGGCTGGGGGGGCAGTTTGAAAGGGTCTGGGGGGCAGTTTTGGGGTCCTGACCCTGCATCCCCCTCAGATCCAGACCTTCCCCGCCACATCCCCACGTCACGTGCGGCGCCGGGACGAGCGGCGGAAGGAGAAGCGGGAGCAGCTGCGGGAGAGGAAGAAGAAGGTGAGGATCGAGGGGGAGGGTCCCCAAAGGCTCCAGGGGGGGTTTTGGGGAGCCCCCTCACGCCCTCCGTGCCCCCCCAGGAGCGGGCTCGGCGCAGGGAGGAGCTGAAGCAGCTCAAGAACCTGAAGCGCCAGGAGTTGGCGGCGCGGCTCGCCCGGATCCGCGAGGCCTCCGGCTCCGACGCCCTCGGAGTCAGCGACTCCCTCCTCCAGGAGGACTTCTGACCCCGCCCGCCACGACCGCCTCATGGCCGTGGGTGCCCCGAGCCCCCTGAGCCCCCCAAACCCGCCCTGTTCACGCTGACACCCCCCCCTTTTCCCCCAGGAATGGTTCGGGGAGGAATATTATGGAAAAGGGGAGGAGGAGAAGCCACAGTTCGAGGAGGAGGAAGGGCTGGAAGGTGAGTGGGGGGATCTAGGGGGTCCCCATTGTGTTCCCCCTCCACACTGTTACTGTGTCACCCCTCATTGTCACTGTCCCCACAGACGACTGGAACTGGGATGCCTGGACGGGGCGGGAGGAGGGGGGGGCTGAGCCGGAGCCCCACTGTGAGGACCCCGACTTTGTGGTGAGGATGTGACCCCCCCCCAACCCCAAACTGTGACCCCCCAACCCCAAACTGTGACCCCATCACCCCCAAATTGTGACCCCCCATCACCCCAAACTGTGACCCCCATCACCCCAAACTGTGACCCCCTAACCCCAAACTGACCGACCCCATCACCCCAAACTGTGACCCCCATCACCCTCAACTGCTGACCCCCACCCCAGGCTGAGTCCGCTCAGAACTCAGTACAGGGATGGGGGGCTGGATTGGGAATTGGGAGAGGAGGTAGGTTTAGGGGTGCAGCCCTCACCCCATTGCCCCCTCCCCCAGATGGACGCCGATTACATCCCCTGAGGCCCCCGACCCCGCATGGCCCCCTGGCCCGGCCCCCGAGGTGTCTTTGGGGAAGAAACGCCGGAAACGAAATTCGGGAGGCCCTGGAGAGGGAGAAGCCCTGTTTGACCCCGGTGAGACCCCTTGGGACCCCCTCAACCCTCAGTGCTCCTGAGACATCCCCCAAAATCCCTGAGCACCCCCCTAAAATCCCTAGAACCCCCCAAAATCATTGCACCCTCCCCAAGTCCCTCCCCCAAAATCCCTGAGGCACCCCTCTCTAAAATCCCCTGAACCTCTCCAAAATCGGCTGCACCCTCTCCCAAATCCCTGAACCCCTCCCCAGTGTCCTGAACCTCCCCCCAAAAATCATTGCACCCTCCCCAAAATCCCTGAACCCCCTCCCCCAAATCATTGCACCCTCCCCAAATCCTTGGACTCCCCAAAATCCCTGAGACACCCCCCTAAAATCCCTGGACTGCTTCCTTCCCAAAATCATTACACCTCTCCCAAATCCTTGGACCCTCAAATCCCTGACCCCCTCCCCCTCCCCAATCCCTGAACGCCCTCAAATCCTCGGACCACCCCCTCAAATCCTGGGGACTCCTTGCGACTCCTGCGGGTCCCTGAGTGTCCCCAAAACCCCTCCTGTGTCCCCCCCGTGCCCCCTCCCTCAGCCTCGGGCCCTTCGAGCAGTACCTGGAGGAGTTTTACGGCCTCGACTTCGAGGACGTCATCGGGGACCTCCCGTGCCGCTTCAAGTACCGCCGGGTCGTGCCCTGCGACTTCGGCCTCACCACGGACGAGGTAGAGCCCCCACTCAAGTCCAGCAGCCCCCGGGGTGCTGAGACCCCCAAAGCACTGAGACCCCCAAAGCACTGAGACCCCCCCCCAAAATCTCCTCCTCCGCCCCAGATCCTGGCGGCCGACGACAAGGAGCTGAACCGCTGGTGCTCCCTGCGCAAGACCTGCATGTACCGGTGAGGGGGAAGGCTTTTGGGGGGGCCCTGGGAGACCCCCACCCCTGGGATTTGATGGGGGGGTGGGCAGGAGGGGGCTCACACCCCCCCTTTACCCTCCCCCCCCCAGCTCGGAGCAGGAGGAGCGGCAGGACCAGGCCAACTACGCCCGGCGGGCGCAGAACCTGGGCAAGAAGCACCAGATCCTGAGATCCCTCGCGGCCAGGTACGAGGGGGAAGGGGGCTTTTTTTGGGGGGGAAGGGGGGGGTTTAAGGGTGGACAGACACCCCCTCACCCCTAATATCCCCCCCTCACCCCCAATATCCCCCCCTCACCTTCAATATCCCCCCTCAGCCCTGAGGAGCCGCAGCCGGCGCCGGCAAAGCCGAAACCGGGGAAGAAGCGCCGGGAGAAGCGGAAGCGGCTGAAGGAGGAGGAGGAGGAGGAGGAGGAGGAGAAGCCCCCCCAGCCTCCCCCCAAGGCCCCCACGAAGCCTGGGGGTCCCCGGCGCCGGGGGGGGCCCCCCCTGGGCGCGTCCGTGCGCTTGGGGGGCCGGGAGTTCAGCGGGAAGAGGTTGGAAGCCTTCGGCCTCAACCCCCGCCGGCTCCGGTTCCGGCAGCTCCGGTGGCAGCGGCGAAGGGAGGGGGAGGCGGGGGGCAAAGCCGGGGGGAAGCCCCTGGAAAAGGCCTGGAAAAACCCCGGGATGGAGGGAAAAACCCCGGAAGGGGAGGGGAAGAAACAGAGGCGAAAACAGAAGCGTGGGAAAAACACCTGAGTTCCCTTCTGGGAAAAACATCCCTTGGGAAAAACACGTGGATTCCCTGGGAAAGGCACATGGATTCCCTGGGAAAACGTGAACAGATTCCCTGGGAAAACGTGAATAGATTCCCTGGAAAAACAGCCCCTGAAAGCCCCGGGAAAAAACAGCAGAACCCGTGGGAAAACACCAGAAACCTCTGGAAAAGAGCGGAACCGTCCCGGAAAAACGGCAGAAGAGCCTGGAAAAGCGGGGGAAGCCTCTGGAAAACCCCGGGAAGGCTCCAGGACGCTGCGCTCGGTTCAAGTTCACTTTATTTTGGGGGGGTGTGGATCCTGAGAGGAGCAATAAATAAACCCCCGCCCCACACACACCCTGAGCAGCCTCTGACAGGGAACTTTGGGGGTCCCAGGACTTTGGGGGTCCTGGAAGTTTGGGGGTCCTGGGACTTTGGGGGTCTCGGGAGTTTAGGGGGTGCAGTAGTGACCCAAAACAGCCCCATCCTGAGGGGGAGGTGCCCCACCCCCACGGGGGCACCACCCGGTCCAGTGTTCGGGGAGCTTTTGGGGGCTCAGAGGAAAACGAACTCGTCAGTGTTGGGTTTTTGGGGCGCTTGCCCCGCCGGGGAGCTGGGAGGGGGGCCGCGGGGGCGGGTCCAGGGCCTGGTCCTGAGCGAGCCCCTCCAGCAGCGAGAAAATGGGATAGCGCTCCGGGGCCGAGGGCGGGGCCAGCACCTGGAAAAGGTGGGGAGGGGTCAGAGAGGGGCCAGGACAGGGAAAAGGGCGGATTTGGGGTCGGGGGCTGGTCAGGATCTGGAAAAGAGGGGGGTGGGCTCAGGAGAGGGGGGGACACTCCCCACCAAACCCCTTCCCCTAGGGGCTCACCCGGGCCAGGTCCCCCACAGCTCCTCCAGCTCCGTCCCGCGGCGTAGAAGCCGAAGGTGCAGCTCGGATCCATCTTCCCGAAGGGCATTTTCCGCGGAAAACGGCAGTGGAAGGACTTGGGCGGCAGGAAAACGTGGGGGTTTTTTGGGGTGGGTGGGTGGGTCATACCCAGTGAGCCCCCCTACCCCCAGCCCCTGTTTTTGGGGTGCACCCACCTGGAGGGGGAAGTTCTCCCGGGCCGTGTCCACGCAGGGCTGGCAGTAGTGGGGGTCCAGGTAGAGCAGGGAATCACCTGGGAGGGGTGAGGGGAGGGCACAGAGGGGTTGGGGACCCCCTCGGGAACTCCCCCCCGTCTCGGATCCCCCTCCCGCGGGGTCCGTACCTTGGAAGCCGAGGAAGTAAAGGGAGTGCCGGGGTTTTCCCCCCACGATGCCGAGGCAGGAGCGGAGCTGCAGCAGCTCCTGTGGGAATGCGGGGAGGGGGAAACGCCGGGATCGGCGCCAGGATCAGCTCCCGGCCCCGGGATCCTCCCCGTGACCCCCCCCCACGACCCCGGCCCGGACCCACCTTGACACACTCCACGTACACGGGGTTCAGGCTCTCGCCCCCCAAACGCACCGGCACCAGCAGGACGACGCCGCGGCGCTGCCCCGGCATTCTCGATCCCGGCATTCCCGATCCCGGTGTCCCAGATCCCGGCGCTCCCGATCCCGGTGCTCCCGATCCCGGTGCTCCCGATCCCGGCATTCCCGATCCCGGTGCTCCCGATCCCGGTGCTCCCGGTGCTGTCGATCCCGGTGTCCCAGATCCCGGCATTCCCGATCCCGGTGCTCCTGATCCCGGCATTCCCGATCCCGGTGCTCCCGATCCCGCTGTCCCGTGCTCAGGGTCCCCCTGCACCAACCTGGCGACGTCCCCCTTGTAAACTGCAACAACAAAAAGGGGGGAAGGGGCTGCTCAGCCCGGCTCCCCCTCCCTCCCAAAAAAAACCAGGACGCCCCCATCCCTCGCAGGTCCCCAATTCGGGGAGGGGTCCCCCCCCGTACCGGTGCAGTCCTGGGCCACGTAGACGGCGAGGCCGGGGGTCTCCGGGCACGATTCCACCGCCCCCCTGAGCGGGACGGGACACGGTGGGTCCGGGGGTTCTCAGGCGCCCCTCCCGAGCGCGGGGATCCCCCACAGCTCCCGGGCCCGCTCACCGCAGGATGTGCGCGGCGATGGCGGGGCCGTACCAGTCCCCGGCGCTCTTGCCGAACGCCCGGCCCAGCTCCACGAGCCGGTGGATGCCGAAGGGGGCGCGGGGGTGGTCGCAGAACCAGGACACGACCTGGCGGTGCCGCCGCTCGCGGCCTGGGGGTCCCAGGAGGGGTCCTGGGGCCCATGTCCCCCGGGGGCTCCGTGTCCGTCCTGCGGGACCCCATGCCCAACCCGGGGGGGGCTGCCTGTCCGTTCTGGGGGGGCCGTCTCTGTCCCGGGGGGTCCTGGATCCATCCCGGAGCGTCCTGGGTACAGCCAGGGGGTTCCCGCGCCCGGCCCGGGGGTCCTGTGTGCGCCCGGGGGTCCCTGTGTCCGTCCGGGGGGATCCGTGACCGGCCTGGGGGCTCCGGGGTCCGTCCCGGGGGGGCCTGGATCCGGCCTGGGGGGCTCTGGGTCCATCCTGGGCGCTCCTGGATCCGTCCCGGGGGGTCCGTGTCCGTCCCGGGGGGTCCCGGCTCCTCCGGGGGGTCCCACCCGGCTCCAGCAGCGCCTCCGGCCACGTCCAGTCTGGAACCGGGGTGGGGTGTGATGGGGAGGGCTTTGGGGAGTCCCCTGGGTTCTGGGGGTCCTGCAAGGGTTTGGGGGTCCTTCCCTGGGGTTTGGGGTCCTCCCCAGAGTTTGGGGGTCTTCCCGGCATTCTGGGGGTTTCCACAGGGGTACTGGGGTCCTCCCCGGCTTCTGGAGGGGGTCTCCCCAGAGTTCTGGGGACTCCTGCAAGGGTTTGGGGTCCCTCCGGGGGTCCCAGGGGGTCCTGCAAGGGTTTGGGGTTCCTCCAGGGTTTTGGGGGGTCCCCCCGAGGTTCTGGGGGCTCCTGCAAGGGTTTGGGGTCCCTCCAGGGTTTTGGGGGGTCCCCCCGAGGTTCTGGGGGCTCCTGCAAGGGTTTGGGATCCCTACAGGGTTTTTGGGGGTCCCTCCAGGGTTTTGGGGGTCCCCCCGAAGTTCTGGGGACTCCTGCAAGGGTTTGGGGTCCCTCCAGGATTTTGGGGGTCCCCCCGAGGTTCTGAGGGGTCCTGCAAGGGTTTGGGGTCCCCCAGGGTTTGGGGTCCTCCAGGATTGGGGTCCCCAGGTTCTGAGGGTCCTGCAAGGTTTGGGGTCCCTCTAGGGTTTTGGGGGTCCCCCCGAAGTTCTGGGGGCTCCCGCAGAGGTTGGGGGGGGTTCCTCCCCGGGTTTCAGGGTTGCCCCCCCCCCGGGTTTTGGGGGTCCCTCACCCCGGCCCAGCAGGTGCAGGAGGAGCCCCTGGCCCAGCAGCATCTGGGCGCTTCTCAGGGTGCAGCCCCAGCCGCAGTCGGTGGTCCGGGGGGTCCCGGGCAGGGCGGGGAAGCCGCTCCGGTACGTCAGCCACAGGCGCGAGCCGAAATCCCGCCGGAACCGCGCCAGCTCCTCTGGGGAGGGACAGAACCCCCCGAGAGAGACCCCTCAGCGCCCCCGAACCAGCCAGAGAACCCCCAGAGCCTCCTCAGCACCCCCGACCCACCCAGAGCCCCTCAGCACCCCCGACCCACCCACAGACCCCCAGAGCCCCTCAGCACCCCTCGACCCACCCAGAGCCCCTCAGCATCCCCGACCCACCCAGAGAACCCCCAGAGCCCCTGAACACCCCGACCCTCAGAGACCCCTCAGCACCCCGAACCAGCCAGAGAACCCCAGAGCCCTCGACCCACCCAGAGCCCCCTCAGCACCCCTGACCCACCCAGAGAACCCCCAGAGCCCCCTCAGCACCTCCGACCCACCCACAGACCCCCGAGAGCCCCTGAACACCCCAGACCACCCACAGACCCCTGAGAGCCCCCTCAGCACCCCTGAACCACCCAGAGCCCCCTCAGCACCCCGAACCACCCAGAGCCCCCTCAGCACCCCCGACCCACCCAGAGAACCCCCAGAGCCCCTCAGCACTCCAGAACCACCCACAGACCCCCCAGAGCCCCTCAGCACCCCCTGACCCACCCAGAGACCCTCAGCACCCCTGACCCACCCAGAGAACCCCAGAGCCCCCTCAGCACCCCTGACCCACCCAGAGCCCCTCAGCACCCCCGAACCATCCAGAGACCCCTCAGCACCCCCGACCCACCCAGAGACCCCCAGAGCCCCCTCAGCACCCCCTGACCCACCCAGAGAACCCCCAGAGCCCCCTCAGCACCCCTGACCCCCAGAGCCCCCTCAGCACCCCCGACCCACCCAGAGACCCCCAGAGCCCCTGAGCACCCCGACCCACCCAGAGCCCCTCAGCACCCCCGACCCACCCAGAGACCCCCTGAGAGAGCCCCCAGCACCCCCGACCCACCCAGAGCCCCCCAGCACCCTGAACCACCCAGAGCCCCTCAGCACCCCCGAACCACCCAGAGACCCACCGAGAGACCCCTCAGCGCCCCGACCCACCCAGAGACCCCCAGAGCCTCCTCAGCATCCCCTGACCCACCCACAGACCCTCAGCACCCCCGACCCACCCAGAGCCCCCTCAGTACCCCCTGACCCACCCAGAGACCCCCAGAGCCCCTCAGCACCTCCGACCCACCCAGAGACCCCCAAACCGCCCCCTTCCCGCCGGGGGTCCGAGGAACCCGCCATGGTGTGAGCTGGGAGCCGAAATCCCACTGGAACCGCCACAGCTCCTTCCGGGGAAGGGTTAGGAGACCCCAAAGAACCCCCATGTGCCCCCAAGCCCCTCAGGGTCCCCTCACCAGCGTTCCCTGGGCTGTAGGCACGGCCCAGGAGGTCAGGGGTCCCTAGGCTGAAGTGGGGCCGAGGCCGCAGGGTCCAGCCTGGGGGCAGAGGAAGAGTCAGGGGACCCCAAAACAGGACCCGCCGCTGTGGTCCCCCAGGGACCGGTGTCCCCCTATTCCCAGTGTCCCCTCTCTATTCCCGGTGTCCCCCCGATTCTCGGTGTCCTCCCCATTCCCGGTGTCCCGATCCCCGTGTCCCCCCACGTTCCGGTGTCCCCTCCTCGATCCCGGTGTCCCCCGTTCCCGGTGTCCCGATCCCGGTGTCCCCCATTCCGGTGTCCCCCCGATCCCGGTGTCCCGTTCCCGGTGTCCCCCATTCCCGGTGTCCCCCCATTCCCGGTGTCCCATTCCCGGTGTCCCCCCCGATCCTGGTGTCCCCATTCCCGGTGTCCCCCCGATCCCAGTGTCCCCCCTATCCAGGTGTCCCCCCATTCCCGGTGTCCTGATCCGGTGTCCCCCGTTCCTGGTGTCCTCTTCCCGATCCCGGTGTCCCCATCCTGGTGTCCACCCTGTCCCTGGTGTCTCCCCTGATCCTGGTGTCCCCCACGTTCCCGGTGTCCCGATCCCTCGGTGTCCCCCCAATTCCCGGTGTCCCGATCCCGGTGTCCCCCCAATTCCCGGTGTCCCCCCATTCCCGGTGTCCCCCAGTTCCCCGGTGTCCCCATTCCCGGTGTCCCCGATCCCGGTGTCTCCCCCATTCCCGGTGTCCCGATCCGGTGTCCCCCCCATTCCCGGTGTCCCCCCATTCCCGGTGTCCCCCCTTCCCGGGGTCCCACCGTATTTCACGCTGTTCCAGGCCGCCAGGACACGGCCCTGCACGCGCTGCCCGCCCTGCTCGGCCCCGGGGTCCTGGCCCGGGGGTCCTGGGGCTCCTGGTCCCTCCCCTGCTCATGGCGGCGGCGGCGCGCGGGGCGGGGCCAGAGAGCGAGGGGCGGGGCCAGGGAGAGGGGATGGACTAGGACCCCCGGGGTGACACCGGGGGGGGTCTCGGGGACATTCTGGGGTCACGGAGGGGGTCACAGAGACAGTGACACTGGGGGGGGGGTCTCAGGGACCCCCAGGGTGACACTGGGTGGGGGGGCACGGGGACATTCCGGGGTCACGTTGGGGGTCACAGAGACCCCCGGGGTGACACTTGGGGGGTCTCGGGGGCATTGTGGGGTCACACTGGGGGTTGCGGGGACCCCCGGGGTGACACGGGGACCCCCTCGGTGTCGCCTCTCTCCCCCACGGGGACTCTTATTGTGGCGGGGGGCGTGTCCGCGGGCGTGTCCGTGACGTCACGGGGCGTGTCCGGGGCTCTTACCGCGGCGGGGGCTCCGGACGCTGCTTAGTCACGGCCCCTCCTGCCCCCGGCCCCGGGTGAGACCCCCGAGAGACCCCTGAACACCCTGGGACCGCCATGGACCGGTGAGACCCCGAGAGACCCCTGAGGTACCCCCGGGACCCCGCCGGGACCCCCGGCACCGGCATGGACCGGTGAGACCCCCGAGAGACCCCCGGAACCCCCCTGGAACCGGCATGGACCGGTGAGACCCCCGAGACCCTGATCCTCCCCCGTGACCGGCATGGACCGGAGAGACCTCGAGAGACCCTGGGACCCCCACCGGGACATCCTGGCCCGGCGTGGACCGATGAGACCCCGAGAGACCCCCTGCAACCCCTCCTCTCTCCCCACAGCATCCGCATGGCCCCATAACCCCCACGAGGGGGTCCCTGTCCCTCTGCCCCCCTGTATTCCCCAGTTCCCCCTCCAACCCCTTCTCGTCCCTCCGCAGCCCCCGGGAGGGGGTCCTGCCATGCTGGTGGGCTCCATGTCCCCATCGCCATCCCTGTCCCCCCTCCATCCCCTCCGTGCCTCAGTTTCCCACACCACATCCCCCTCTAACCCCTTCTTTCTTCCCCCCGCAGCCTCCCCGTGACCCTGTAACTCCCCCGGGAGTGGGTCCTGCCATGCTGGGGGTCCATGTCCCCATCCCCATCCCTGTCCCCCTCCCCATCCCCTCCGTGCCTCAGTTTCCCTCTAATCCCCTTCTTCCCCCGCAGCCCCCTCACTGCCCCACAACCACCCCGGTGAGGGGGTCCTGCCATGCTAGGGGGTCCATGTCCCCATCCCCATCCCCCTCCGTGCCTCAGTTTCCCCTCTAACCCCTTCTTTCTCCCCTCCCGCAGCCTCCCCATGCGACCCCGTAACCCCCTGTGAGGGGGGTCCTGCCATGCTAGGGGGGTCCATGTCCCCATCCCCATCCCCTCCGTGCCTCAGTTTCCCCTCTAACCCCCTTCTTTCTCCCCTCCCGCAGCCTCCCCGCGACCCCGTAACCCCCCCGTGAGGGGGGTCGGGTGTCCCCCCGCCCCGCTCCACGTGGGGGTTGTGTGTGTTTTCATTTTCCCGGCCATGTCGCGATCGTCGCCGCCGCCGCCCCCGGAGTGCCCGGCCGAGGTGCTGACCCCTCCGGGCGCGGGGAGCGGCGCGGGGGGCTCGGGGGTCCCGCTGCGCTACGAGCAGGCCGAGCACCCCCGGGCGGCGCTGGCGGCGATGAACGAGCTGCGGCTCGAGGGGCAGCTCTGCGATGTCACCCTGCGGGTGCGCTACGGGCGGGACGCGGCGCCCACCGAGCTGCGCGCCCACCGCGTGGTGCTGGCGGCCGCCAGCCCCGTGTTCCGGGCCATGTTCACCGCGGGGCTGCGGGAGCGCGGCCTGGCCGAGGTGCCCATCGAGGGCGTCCACCCGCGGGCCATGGAGCGCCTCGTCGAGTTCGCCTACACGGCCGCCGTGGCCGTGGGCGAGCGCTGCGTGCTGCCGCTGCTCAACGGGGCCATCATGTACCAGGTGCGCGGAGCACCCCCAGAATTTGGGAGGGGGTGGGGACCCCAAAATCGGTACCCTTTGGTTTGGGGGGGGTTGGGGATTGTGTCTCTGAAACGCGTCCCGCGGCGAAACCCACGCGGGCCGGAGCGCCTGAGGCGGGCACGGGGGTCGTTCTGAGGTTTTTATACCCAGTGGGAGTTGTGGTTGTGTGTGGGAGGTTCTATAGGAGTTATGGTTATCTGCATGTATATATATATATATATATATATGTATACACACATGTACATGCACACACATATGTAGTTAAAAATAGTTGTGCCCACCTAAATTCTAGTCTCTATTCGGTTTTACACCGAGTAGGAGTTGTATTTGTGTGTGGGAGGATCTATAGGAGTTATGGTTATGTATCTGCATGTATATATATATATTTATATATATACATGTATGTACACACATATGTAGTTAAAAATAGTTGTGCCCAGCTAAATTCCAGTGTTTATTTGGTTTTACACTGAGTAGGAGTTGTATTTGTGTGTAGGTGGTTCTATAGGAGTCATGACTATATATATTTTTGTATATATATATATATATATTTATGTACATACACACATATATACTTAAATGTAGTTATGCCCAGCTAAGTTCTGTTCTTCCATTCAGTGTTTTACTGGTTGTGCCCAGCCAAGTTCCAGTCTTTATTCAGTTTTTTTACTGGATAGAAGTTGTAGTTCCATGTACGTAGTTATAAATGATGCCTATATACATAGCTAAGTATATATAGTTAAATATAGTTGTGGCCAGCTAAATTCCAATTTTTATTCGGTTTTACACTGAATAGGAGTTGTAGTTGCATGTGTGTAGTTATATGGGAGTTATGCCTATGTAGGTGACTACACTTATACTATATATACATATATATATAATTAAGGGTAGTTATGCCTAGCTCAGTTCCATTCCTCTATTCAGTGTTTTACTGGTTGTGCCCAGCCGAGTTCCAGCCTTTATTCAGCGTTACACTGAGTAGGAATTGTAGTTGCACGTGTGTAGCTATATAGGAGTTACACCTCCATATACAGCTATATTTATATCATTTATATATATATATAATTAAAAGTAGTTATGCCCAGCTCAGTTCTAATCTTCTATTCGGTGTTTTGCTGGTTGTGCCCAGCCGAGTTCCAGCCTTTATTCAGCGTTACACTGAGCAGGAGTTGTAGTTGCACATGTGTAGCTATATAGGAGTTACACCTACGTATATAGCTACATTTATATTATATACATATATATATATAACTAAAGGTGGTTATGGCCAGCTCAGTTCCATTCTTCTATTCGGTGTTTTACTGGTTGTGCCCAGCCAAGTTCCAGCCTTTACTTGGTTTTGCACTGAATAGGAGTTGTAGTTGCATGTGTGTAGTTATATGGGAGTTATGCCTATGTAGGTGACTACACTTATACTACATATATATATATATAATTAAAGGGAGTTATGCCCAGCTCAGTTCCATTCTTCTATTCGGTGTTTTACTGGTTGTGCCCAGCCGAGTTCCAGCCTTTATTCAGCTTTACACTGAGCAGAGTTGTAGTTGCACATGTGTAGCTATATAGGAGTTACGCCTACGTATACAGCTATATTTATATTATATATATATATATATAATTAAAAGTAGTTATGCCCAGCTCAGTTCTGTTCTTCCATTCGGTGTTTTGCTGGTTGTGCCCAGCCAAGTTCAGTCTTTACTTGGTTTTACACTGAATAGGAGTTGTAGTTACATGTGTGTAGTTATATGGGAGTTACACCTCCATATACAGCTATATTTATATTATATATATATATAACTAAAGGTAGTTATACCCAGCTCAGTTCCATTCTTTTATTCAGTGTTTTACTGGTTGTGCCCAGCCGAGTTCCAGCCTTTATTCAGCTCTACCCTGAGCAGGAGCCGCTCGTGTCTGTACGAGGTCGTGCAGGAACTCTGCCCACATGTGCGGACGCGAGGCCATCCTTTCAGAACCACGCACCCGGTGCCCCCCTTTGCTCACACCCAAACCCCCCCGGGGGGGTCTCCCCCCTGTCCCCAGGTGGACGCCGTGGTCCGGGCCTGCTGCGCCTTCCTGGGGGGGCAGCTGCACCCCAGCAACGCCATCGGCATCGCCGCGCTGGCCGAGCGGCTCGGCTGCCTCGAGCTGCACCAGAAGGCCCGCGAGTACATCTACATGAACTTCGGGGAGGTGAGGGGGGGCCGGGGTCCTGGGGGCTGGGGGCTCAGGGACCCCAGGAACGGGGATGGGGTCCCCCCGAGCAGCTGGAGCTGCACCAGAAGGCCCGCGAGTACATCTACATGAACTTCGAGGAGGTGAGGGGGTCCTGGGGGCCTGGGGGCTCAGGGGACCTCCAGGGATGGGGATGGGGTCCCCCCGAGCAGCTGGAGCTGCAGCAGAAGGTCTGGGGGTGCATCCCCATCAATCCCTGCCCCGGTGCCCCGGCAGGAGCAGCTCCTGGCCCCGTCCTGCTGCTCAGCTGAGGGGCTTTGGGGTTGGCTTGGGACTGGTTTTGGGGTGACCCCTCACTCTGCTACCCCCCTGTTCCAGGTGTCGAAGCAGGAGGAGTTCCTGGCGCTGTCCCAATGGGTGACCCCAGGCAGTTTTTGGGGTGGCCCCTCACTCTGCTACCCCCTATTCCAAGTCTCCAAGCAGGAGGAGTTCCTGGTGCTGTCCCACTGCCAGCTGGTGACCCTGGTGACCCCGGGCTGTTTTTGGGGTGACCCCAGGCAGTTTTTGGGGTGGCCCCAGGCAGTTTTTGGTGTACCCCAGGCAGTTTTTGGGGTGGCCCCAGGCAGTTTTTGGGGTGACCCCAGGCAGTTTTTGGGGTGGCCTCAGGCAGTTTTTGGGGTGGCCCCTCACTCCCTTATCCCCATTCCAGGTGTCGAAGCAGGAGGAGTTCCTGGCGCTGTCCCACTGCCAGCTGGTGGCCCTGGGCTGTTTTTGGGGTGGCCCCAGGCAGTTTTTGGGGTGGCCCCTCACCCCGTTATCCCCCCCATTCCAGGTGTCGAAGCTGGAGGAGTTCCTGGCAGTTGGTGACCCTGGTGACCCCAGGCAGTTTTTGGGGTGGCCCCTCACTCCCTTATCCCCATTCCAGGTGTCGAAGCAGGAGGAGTTCCTGGCGCTGTCCCAATGGGTGACCCTGGGCTGTTTTTGGGCTGACCCCAGGCAGTTTTTGGGGTGGCCCCTCACCCTGTTATCCCCCCCGTTCCAGGTGTCGAAGCAGGAGGAGTTCCTGGCGCTGTCCCACTGCCAGCTGGTGACCCTGGTGACCCCAGACCATTTTTGGGGTGGCCCCTCACCCTGTTTATCCCCCCCGTTCCAGGTGTCGAAGCAGGAGGAGTTCCTGGCGCTGTCCCACTGCCAGCTGGTGACCCTGGTGACCCTGGGCCGTTTTTAGGATGGCCCCTCACCCCGTTATCCCGTTCCAGGTGTCGAAGCAGGAGGAGTTCCTGGCCCTGTCCCACTGCCAGCTGGTGACCCTGGTGAGCCGGGACGAGCTGAACGTGCGCTGCGAGTCCGAGGTGTTCCAGGCGTGCGTGGCGTGGGTGCAGCAGGACCGGGCGGCGCGGGGGCCGTTCCTGCCGGCGCTGCTGCGCGCCGTGCGCTGCCACGCGCTCACCCCGCGCTTCCTGCGGGCGCAGCTGCGGCGCCGCCACGACCTGGGCCACGACGCCCTGCGCTACCTGGCCCGCGTCTTCCGCGACCTGGCCCTGCACCGGCCGCCCCGCGCGCCCCCCGCCCGCACGCCCCGCGTGCGCCAGCTCATCTACGCGGCCGGGGGGTACCTGCGCCAGTCCCTGAGCCGCCTCGAGGCCTTCGACCCCCTGGACGGCTCCTGGGTGGCGCTGGCGGCCCTGCAGAGCCCCCGCTCGGGGCTGGGGGGCTGCGCCGTCGGGGGGCTCTTCTACGCCGTGGGGGGCCGCAACAACTCGCCCGAGGGCAACACCGACTCGGCCGCCGTCGACTGCTACAACCCCGTGACCGACCGCTGGTCGCCCTGCGCGCCCATGAGCGTGCCCCGCAACCGCATCGGCGTGGGCGTCATCGACGGCATGATCTACGCCGTGGGGGGGTCCCACGGCTGCACCCACCACTGCTCTGTGGAGAGGTGGGGGGGAAATGGGGGCTGGGGGCACAGGAGGGGCTGGGAGTGGGGCTGGGAATGAGATGGGGGTCCCACGGCTGCACCCACCACTGCTCCGGTCGAGAGGTGGGGGAAATGGGGCTGGGGGGGATGGGGGTCTGGGAATGAGAATGGGGATCCCACGGCTGCACCCACCACTGCTCCATGGAGAGGTGGGGGGAAGGGGGCTGGGGGCTGGGTGGGGTGGGAATGGGGCTGGGAGTGAGGATGGGGTCCCACAGCTGCACCCACCACTGCTCCGTGGAGAGGTGGGGGGCTGGGAGGGGTGGGGGGGCTGGGAATGGGGCTGGGAGGCACAGGGAGGGGCTGGGAGGGGTGGGGAGCAGAGGGAGGGGCTGGGAGTGAGGATGGGGGTCCCATGACTGCACCCACCACTGCTCCGTCGAGAGGTGGGGGAATGGGGCTGGGGAGCTGGGAGGAGTGGGAATGGGGCTGCACCCTTTGTGGTTCAGGGGGTCCCTGTGGGGGTCCCTGTGGGGGTCCCTGTGGGGGTCTGACAGGGGGTCTGCACCCCTCAGATGGTTCAGGGGGTCCCTGTGGGGGTCCCTGTGGGGGTCCCTGTGGGGGTCTGAGGGGGGATCTGCACCCCTTTATGGTGCAGGGGGGGTTCTGAGGGGGGCTCTGCACCCCTTTATGGTTCAGGGGGTCCCTGTGGGGGTCCCTGTGGGGGTCCCTGTGGGGGTCTATACCCTCAGATGGTGCAGGGGGTCCCTGTGGGGGTCCCTGTGGGGGTCCCTGCAGGGCTGTGACCTGCGCCTACCCCCCCAGGTACGAGCCGGAGCGGGACGAGTGGGCGCCGGTGGCGCCGATGGGGACGCGGCGCATCGGGGTGGGGGTGGCGGTGCTGAACCGGCTCCTCTACGCCGTGGGGGGCTTCGACGGCAGCGCCCGCCTGCGCTCGGCAGAGCGGTACCACCCCGAGAGGGACGCCTGGCACTCCATCCCCATGGCCACCGTCCGCAGCGGCGCCGGTGGGTCCGGGGGTCCTGGGGGTCCTGGGGGGTTTGGGGGTCTGGGGGTCCTGGGGGTCCCAGAGGGTTTAGGGAGGGTCCTGGCACCCCATCCCCCATGGCCACCATCCGCAGCGGCGCCGGTGGGTCCAGGGGGTCCTGGGGGTCCTGGGGGTTTGGGGGTCCTGGGATGCCCCAAAGAGGTCTGAGGGTCCTGGCACCCCATCCCCCATGGCCACCGTCCGCAGCGGCGCCGGTGGGTCCGGGGAGTCCTGGGGGTCCTGGGGTTGGGGTCCCTGAGGGTTTGGGGGTCCCTGGGGGCCCATTTGGAGGGGCCACCGACAGCGGATTTGGGGGTCCTGGGGGTCCCTGAGGGGTTCTGGGGGTCCCTGGGGGTTTGGGGGTCCTGAGGGGTTTAGGGGTCCTGGCACTTCATTCTCCCATGGCCACCGTCCGCAGCGGTGCCGGTGGGTCTGGGGTTTGGGGGTCCCTGAGGGGTCTTGGGGGTCCTGGGGGGGGGTCCCAAAGGGGTTTAGGGGGTCCTGGCACCCCATCCCCCATGGCCACCATCCAGCGCAGCGGTGCTGGGGGGTCTGGGGGGTCCTGGGGGGTCCTGGGGGTCCCAAAGGGATTTGGGGGAGTCCTGGGGGTCCCTGAGGGGTTTAGGGAGGGTCCTGGGGGTCCCAAAGGGGTTTGGGGGTCCTGGGGGTTTGGGGGTCCTGGGGGTCCCTGAGGGGTTTGGTGGGGTCCCAAAGGGTTTGGGGGTCCTGGGGGTCCTAAGGGATTTGGGGGGTCCCAAAGGGATTTGGGGGGTGTCCCAAAGGGATTTGGGGGGGTCCTGGCACCCCATCCCCCCCATGGCCACCGTCCGCAGTGGCGCCGATGCGTCCGGGGGTGCCTGAGGGGGTCCTGGGGGTTCCTGCGGGGTTTGTTGGGGGCTTTGGGGACCCTCTTGGGGATGTTTTGGGGTCCCTGGGGGTTTTCGGGGCTGCTCTCTCAGGTTTTGGGGTCTGTGGGGCTTTTGGGGCCTTCTGGGACTGTTTTGGGGTCTCTGGGAGTGTTTTGGGGTCTCTGGGGGTTTTCGGGCTGCTCTCTCAGGTTCTGGGGGTCCCTGGGGGTATTTTGGGGTCTCTGGGGATTTTGGGGTCTCGGGGTTTTTGGGGCTGCTCTCTCAGGTCCTGGGGGTCCCTGGGGGTTTTTGGGGCTGCTCTCTCAGATTTTGGGGTCTCTGGGGGTATTTTGGAGTCTCTGGGGGTATTTTGGAGTCTCTGGGGGTATTTTGGGGTCCCTGGGGGTTTTCAGGGGTGCTCTCTCAGGTCCTGGGGGTCTCTAACCCCGTTTTTTCCCCCCCCCCAAAGGGGTGTGTGCCCTGGGGAACTGCCTGTACGCCATGGGGGGGTACGACGGGACGCAGCAGCTCAGCAGCACCGAGCGCTTCGAGGCCGACACCGAGACCTGGAGCTTCGTGGCCCCCATGGGGCGGCGGCGGAGTGCCCTGGGGGTGACGGCCTTCAGGGGCAGGATCTACGTCCTGGGTATGGGGAGGGGTCCTGGGGGGGCACTGAGGGGTCCCACAGGGGGTCAGTGCCCTGGGGGTCACGGCCTTCCGGGGCAGGATCTACGTCCTGGGTACAGGAATGGGGTCTGGGGGTCCCATGGGGGGGTCAGTGCCCTGGGGGTGACGGCCTTCAGGGGCAGGATCTACGTCCTGGGTATGGGGAGGGGTCCTGGGGGGGCACTGAGGGGTCCTGGGGGCACTGAGGGGTCCTGGGGGTCCCAAAAGGGTCAGTGCCCTGGGGGTCACGGCCTTCCGGGGCAGGATCTACGTCCTGGGTATGGGGAGGGGTCCTGGGGGTCCCACAGGGGGTCCTGGGGGTCCCAAAAGGGTCAGTGCCCTGGGGTCACGGCCTTCAGGGGCAGGATCTACGTCCTGGGTACAGGAATGGGGTCTGGGGTCCCATGGGGGTCAGTGCCCTGGGGTCACGGCCTTCAGGGGCAGGATCTACGTCCTGGGTATGGGGAGGTCCTGGGGGTCCTATGGGTCCTGGGGTCCCATGGGGGTCAGTGCCCTGGGGTGACGGCCTTCAGGGGCAGGATCTACGTCCTGGGTATGGGGAGGGGTCCTGGGGGTCCTAAAGGGTCAGTGCCCTGGGGTGACGGCCTTCAGGGGCAGGATCTACGTCCTGGGTACAGGAATGGGGTCTGGGGGGTCACTGAGGGGTCCTGGGGGTCCCACAGGGGGTCAGTGCCCTGGGGGTCACGGCCTTCAGGGGCAGGATCTACGTCCTGGGTATGGGGAGGGGTCCTGGGGGTCCCAAAGGGTCAGTGCCCTGGGGGTCACGGCCTTCAGGGGCAGGATCTACGTCCTGGGTATGGGGAGGGGTCCTGGGGGGTCCCAAAAGGGTCAGTGCCCTGGGGGTCACGGCCTTCAGGGGCAGGATCTACGTCCTGGGTATGGGGAGGGGTCCTGGGGGGTCCTGGGGGTCCCAAAAGGGTCAGTGCCCTGGGGGTGACGGCCTTCAGGGGCAGGATCTACGTCCTGGGTATGGGGAGGGGTCCTGGGGGTCCCACAGGGGGTCCTGGGGGGTCACTGAGGGGTCCTGGGGGGTCACTGAGGGGTCCTGGGGGTCCCATGGGGGGTCAGTGCCCTGGGGGTCACGGCCTCCAGGGCAGGATCTACGTCCTGGGTATGGGGGAGGGGTCCTGGGGGTCCTAGGCAGGGGTTCTGGGGGTCTGATGTGCCCCATGTTCACTCCCCAGGGGCTATGACGGGTACTCGTTCCTGGACTCGGTGGAGTGCTACGACCCCGAGGGGACTCCTGGGGGTCCCAGGGGTCTCAGGGGGTCCTGGGGGTCCTCAGGGGCTCTGAGGGGGTCTGATGTGCCCTGTTCCCCCTCCCCCAGGGGGCTATGACGGGTACTCGTTCCTGGACTCGGTGGAGTGCTACGACCCCGAGGGGGACTCCTGGGGGTCCCAGGGGTCTCAGGGGGTTCTGGGGGTCTCAGGGGTCCCAGGGGGTTCTAGGGGTCTGATGTGCCCTGTTTCCCCCCAGGGGGCTATGACGGGCACTCGCTCCTGGACTCGGTGGAGTGCTACGACCCCGAGGGGGACGCGTGGACGGAGGTGACGCCGATGCCGTCGGGGCGCTCGGGGCTGGGCGTGGCGGTGACGGTGGAGCCGTGCAGGAGGGACCCCCCCCCCGAGGAGACCCCCGGAGGGCACCCAGAGCCCCCCGCGGGCCCTGCTGACCCGGCGCCGCCGGGGGTCGGGGATTGATGGGGGGTCTGAGGGGGAGGCTTTGGTGCAGCCCTGCACCCCAAAATCTGGACCTTCCTCCTCCCTCCCTCCCCGAATTCATCCCCCACCCCCGGCGGCGCTTGGAGCATGGGGGAGGGCAGCGACCCTCCCCCTCAGATGTCACAGGACTTGGCTGTGGCCACACAGCTTGAGGATGGGGAGGTGCAGCCCCCAAACACTCCCCCTCGAGCCAAGTTTTGGGGCCGGAGCCGCCCTGGACTCGTTTTGATGCTTCCCAACCCCCTTTGGTACAGAAATAAAGGAGTTTTTGTGATTAAAGGGGGGTTATTGGTTCTGGGGGGTTTATTGGTTCTGGGGGTTTATTGGTGCTGGGGGTTACAGTGTTGGGGAGGGTTACAGTGCTGGGTGGGGTTTATTGGTGCTGGGGGTTATTGGTGCTGGGGGTTTATTGGTGCTGGAGGGGTTTATTGGTGCTGGGGGGTTACAGTGTTGGGGAGGGGTTGCAGTGCTGGGGGTTTATTGGTGCTGGAGGGGTTTATTGGTGCTGGGGTCGTTTATTGGTGCTGGGGGGTTTATTGGTGCTGGGGGGTTATTGATTCTGGGGGCTTATTGGTTCTGGGGGTTTATTGGTGCTGGGGAGTTACAGTGTTGGGGAGGTTACAGTGCTCAGGGGGTTTATTGGTGTTGGGGAGGGGTCACAGTGCTGGGGAGAGGGTTACAGCATTGGGGGCTTATTGGTGCTGGGGGATTTATTGGTGCTGGGGGTCACAGTGTTGGGGAGGGGGTCACAGTGCTGGGGTCACAGTGCTGGGGGTTTATTGGTGCTGGGGGGTTACAGTGTTGGGAGGGGGTCACAGTGCTGGGGGCACAGTGCTGGGGTAGGTGCTACAGGTTGGGGAGGGTCACAGTGCTGGGGAGGGGTTACAACACTTCGGTGTTGGGGTCGCTGCCCCCGAGGGGCGTTCGGTGCCCTCGGGTGGGTGTTGGTACCCCGGGGGTTCTGCTGCCCCTGGCGGGAAGGGGGTCCCTGGGGCCCCACTGGGTGGGCACGAGGCTCCAGAGGAAGTCGCTGATGAAGAGCGGGAGTGCCGGGCCCGGTCCAGGTCGAAGGGCTGGGCGATGTCGGGGCCGTAGTGGACTGGGGGGTGGAAAGGGGGTTATGGGGTGGGGGACACGGGGGAGTTCAGGGGGTCCAGGGGGTCACTCACCCTCTGACGCGCCCGGCTCCGCCTCGTAGTCCCAGTCGATGCGGCTGATCTTGTAGTAGAGATGGATCAGGTGCCTGAAAGGGGAGGGGGTGGATTTTGGGGTGGGGGGCTCAGGGGGCTCTGCAGGTCCCTGGGGGCTCTGGGGGTCTCCCCACCGCACTCACAGCAGGGCAGGAGCGTCGTCCTGGCGGCTCTGGTGGTCCCGGTGCAGCCCCCGCAGCCGCTCCCGCAGCTCCTGCAGCTCCCGCCGCAGCTCCCCGGGCATGTCAAGGGGCACAACGGGGACCCCCGGCCCTAAAACCACCCCCCAGGGACCCCTAGGGACCCCCAGACCCCCAAGGATACTGGGAGCGGGCCTGGGAGCCGTCCCAGGCCTCCTGTGCCTGCTGCAGCTCCCCGGGCGCGTCAAGGGGCACAACGGGGACCCCCCGGCCCTAAAACCAAACCCCAGGGACCCCCCGACCCTAAAACCACCCCCCAGGGACCCCCAGGGACCCCCCAGATCCCAAAGGGTACTGGGAGAGGGTCTGGGAGCCGTCCCAGGCCTCCTGTGCCCACTGCAGCTCCTGCAGCTCCCGCCGCAGCTCCCCGGGCACATCAAGTGGCACAACGGGGACCCCTGCCCCTAAAACAGCCCCCAGCTACCCCCGACCCTAAAACCGCCCCCCAGGGACCCCCAGAACCCCCCCAGACCACAAAGGGTACTGGTAGAGGGCCTGGGAGCCGTCCCAGGCCTCCTGTGCCCATGAACCTGTGAGAGCAGCCCCTGCAGCTCCCCGGGCGCGTCAAGGGGCACAACGGGGACCCCCCGGCCCTAAAACCAAACCCCAGAGATCCCCAGGACCCCAGACCCCCAGAGACCCCCAGACCCCCAAAGGGTACTGGCAGAGGGCCTGGGAGCCGTCCCAGGCCTCCTGTGCCCGCTGCAGCTCCCCGGGCACGTCAAGGGGCACAACGGGGACCCCCCGGCCCTAAAACCAAACCCCAGGGACCCCCCGACCCTAAAACCGCCCCCCAGATACCCCCAGGGACCCCCCAGACCCCAAAGGGTACTGGGAGAGGGCCTGGGAGCCATTCCAGGCCTCCTGTGCCCATGAAACTGTGAGAGCAGCCCCTGCAGCTCCCCGGGCGCGTCAAGGGGCACAACGGGACCCTCGCCTAAACCACCCTCAGGGACCCCCAGGGACCCCCCAGACCCCCAAGGATACTGGGAGCGGGCCTGGGAGCCATCCCAGGCCTCCTGTGCCCACTGCAGCTCCCCAGGCGTGTCAAGGGGCACAACGGGGACCCCTGACCCTAAAACCGTCCCCAGGGACCCCCAGACCCCCCCAGAGACCCCCAGACCCCCAAAGGGTACTGGCAGAGGGCCTGGGAGCCGTCCCAGGCCTCCTGTGCCCGCTGCAGCTCCCTGGGCACATTAAGGGGCACAACGGGGACCTCCCGACCCTAAAACTGCCCCCCAGGGACCCCCGGCCCTAAACCACCCCCAGGGACCCCCAGACCCCCCAGGGACCCCAGGGACCCCCCAGAGCCCCAAGGATACTGGGAGCGGGCCTGGGAGCCGTGCCAGGCCTGCTGTGCCCGCTGCAGCTCCAGGAGCAGCCCCTGCAGGCGCTGCCGGCACCGCCCCAGCTCGGCCTCCCCACGCAGGACCCGCTCGGCCACCGCGGCCTCCGCTGCCACCAGCGCTGGGGACACGCACGGGGGTCACTGGGGGCTCTGGGAGCTGGAGGTCACTGGGGCTGGGGGTCACTGGGGGCTGGGGGTCACTGGGGGCTGGGGGTCACTGGGGGTCACTGGGGGTCACTGAGGGCTCTGGGGACACGGCATGGGGTCACTGGGGGCTGGGGACAGGGAATGGGTCAGGGGACAGGGAATGGGGTCACTGGGGCTGGGGTCACTGGGGGTCACTGGGGGCTCTGGGGACACGGCACGGGGTCACTGGGGGCTGGGGAGGGCAGGGAGGGGACAGGGGCAATGGGGGTCACCTAAAGGCAATAGGGGGCAATGAGGAGTTTTAGGGATCAAGGAAGGGGTTTTGGGTGTAATAAGGGGGTTTTGGATGCAGTGAGGGGATTTTGGGTACAATGAAGGTTTTTTTGGGTGCAATGAGAGGCTTTTGGTTGCAGTGAGCAGTTTTTGATTGCAATGAGGGGGTTTTTGGGTACAATGAAGGGTTCTGGGGTGGAATGAGAGGATTTTTGGGTACAATGAGGGGGTTTTTTGAGTACAATGAAGGATTTTGGGGTGGAATGACGGGTTTTTGGGGCACGGCACCCACCCTGGAGGAGTCCCCCTGCCCTGCCCCGCGTGTCCAGCAGCCTCAGCTCCAGGTCCCGACGCCGCTCCAGCCCCCGGAGCAGGAGCTGCTCCGCCCAGCCCGAGCCCAGAGCCCGCAGCAGCTCCTGGGCCAGCGCCTCCAGCTCCTGCAAGGCTGAGCCTCTGGGAAACCATCCTGGGGGTGATAATGGGGTTAATGGGGAAATGGGGAAATGGGGTCACCCAGCCCTCCAGCCCTGCAGCTGGGCCTGGGCCATCCTGAGGGGTACAGGGGGTTAATGGGGTCACTGTGGGGCATGAGTACTCAGCGCCTCCAGCTCCTGCAGCCGGGCCTGGGCCATCCTGGGGAAATGGGGGTTAATGGGGCACTGGGGTTAATGGGGTCACTGGAGGGTCAGTTCAGCCCTTCCAGCTCCTGCAGGCGGGCCTGGGCCATCCTGGGAAATGGGGGATAATGGGGGTTAATGGGGTCAATGGGTCACTGGGGGTCAATGGGGGTCACTGGGGTCAATGGGGTCACTAGGGGGACTGGGGGGTCACTGGGGGCACTGGAGGGGTCAATGAGGGGGTCACAGGGGGTGCAGGTGTTGGGGTGCTCAGCATCTCCCGATGCTCCAACACCACCACCTAGGAAGGGGGCACGGAGGGGGTCTCGGGGGTCTCAGGGATTTTGGGAGTGACAGACCCTGGGTGGGGCCGGGGCACCTCTGGGAGACCCCCAAAGACCCCCACCTCCTCCTCTTCACCCCCTGTACCCCGAGGGGTCCTTCACTCCCTCCTCGTTCCTGGGGCTCTTTTCCCCCCTCCCCCGTTTTACCTCCAATCCTTTTTTTTGGGGGCGTTCGTTGCGAATTTCGCGGGTTCTCTCTGCGCATGCGCAGCCTCTCCTCCCCCATCCCGCGATGGTCCCGCCCTCTCCGTGTCCCCCTCCCGAACCCGCGATGGTCCCGTCCGGCCCCGCCCCTCCTCTGGCCCCGCCCCCTCTGCGTTGCGTCCCCCTCCGCGTGTCCCTCGGCCTCCGCGGCTCCCCGCTTTGGTTCCGCTGCGCTCTCCCCGCTGGGTTCCCTGCGGTCCGGCCGCGAATCCGGCCCGGGCGGAGCCGCTTCCAGCCATGGCGGCGCTGGGCGGGGGAGGCCGCGGGCTCTGGGGGCGCCTCGGGGAGACCCGGCTCGGTGAGGGGGCTGGGGGCACGGCTCGGTGAGGGGGCTGGGGAGACCCTGCTCGGTGAGGGGGAGACCCGGCTCGGTGAGGGGGCTGGGGAGACCCTGCTCGGTGAGGGGGCTGGGGAGACCCGGCTCGGTGAGGGGGCTGGGAGACCCGGCTCGGTGAGGGGGCTGGGGGACACGGCCTGGTGAGGGGGCTGGGGAGACCCGGCTCGGTGAGGGGGCTGGGGGACACAGGGCTGGGGAGGCGGGCTGGGAGACCCGGGTCGGTGGGGGGGGAGACCAGTGCCTCGGTGAGGGGGCTTGGGGGACACGGCTCATGGGGGTGAGAGGGGCTGGGGGTCACTGGGGCAGGGGGAGGTCAGAGCTTGAGGTCTGGGGTCATTGGGGTGGGGTAGGGGTCAGAGCCTGAGGGGGTTTGGGGGTCACTGAGGGGGTTTGGGGGTCACTGATGGGGGTCAGAGCTCTGGGGGGTTTGGGGTCACTGAGGAGGTTTGGGGGTCACTGAGGGGGTCAGAGCTTTGAGGGAGGTTGTGGGGTCATTGGGGGTTGGGGTTCACTGAGGGGGTTTGGGGGTCACTGGGAGGGTTTGGGGGTCATTGGGGTTTTGGGGGTCACTGAGGGGGTTTGGGGGTCACTGAGGGGTCAGAGTCTGAGGGGGGGTCACTGAGGGGGTTTGGGGTCACTGAGGGGGTTTGAGGATCACTTGGGGGCAGTTTGGGGGTCACTTGGGACGGGGGGCCGGGGGTCATTGGGGAGGGGCTGGGTGGTCCACCCTGATCGAGGGGGAGAGGGGTCCCCAAACCCCTCCCACCTGCCCTGGGGGTCCAACCCCCCTGGGAGGGGGATTTCACCCCAACCCAAGCTGGGAGGATTTGGGGGCTCACCAGGCGAGGGGGATTTTGTTCCACAATTCCAGGGCCATCTCCGGGTGGGCTTCCCCTGTCCCCTCCCTCACCTCCCTGGGTGTCCCACCCCTCCCACCCTAACCCCCATTTCCCCCAGGCCGCTGGGTCCTCTCCCTGTGCCGCGATTACTCCTCGTCTGCCCTCGAGGCCTGGCAGGGGGCTCGGCGGCGCCCGGGCCGCGCTTTGGGGGTCCTGACCCTGCTGGGGGCCCTGGGGGTCTGTGCCGGGTCCGTCCCCGACCTGCAGGCGCTGGAGGGCGGCGGTGGCGGCCGGGGGTGCTGGGGCTCCCCGCGGTGCCGCAGCCCCCGCGCCGAGCGCAGGGTGCGGCGGCTGCTGCGGCTGCGGGAGCGGGGCGGGCTGGGCGTGCTCAGCCTGGGCGTGCTGAGCCTGGCGCGGGAGGAGCCGCCCGGGGCGGGGCCCGCCCTCTACTCCGCCCGCTGCCCGCACCTGGGCCCCGCCCTGCCCGCCCCGCCGCTGGACGTCGGGTTCCTGGGCCGCTGGTGGGGGCTGAGCCGCGCCCTGCGCGACTGCGACGTCAACGACGGAGAGTTCGACGGGCTTGCCCGAGCCCCTGCGGCGCCTCGACCCGCGGGCACTGCGATCTGAGGACAACGAGAGGCTGTTCATGGAGAGGATGAGGCCTGTGGTGCTCAGGGACGAGGATCTGGAGGGGGAGCTCTGAGGGGACCCCCCTGAGGGACCCCCCAGAGACCCTGAGGAACCCCCCTGAGGGACCCCCCCTGAGGGATCCCCCCTGAGGGACCCCTCTCGACCCCCGTGCACTGCGCTCTGAGCACAACGAGAGGCTCTTCATGGAGAGAACCAGGCCTGTGGTGCTCAGGGAGGAGGATTTAGAGGGGGAGGAGGAGCCCTGAGGGACCCCCGTGCGGGACCCGCTGGGACCCTGTGATCGGAGCCCATGAGGGACTCCTCATGGAGAGACCCCTGAGGTCCCTGAGGTGACTCAGAGAGAGCCTGAGGGACCCCTGGAGGACCCTGAGAGAGCCCTGAGGGACCCCTTGTGAGGGACCCCTGAGAGAGCCCTGAGGGACCCCTCGACCCCCGGGCACTGCGATCTGAGCACAACGAGAGGCTCTTCATGGAGAGAACGAGGCCTGTGGTGCTCAGGGACGAGGATATAGAGGGGGAGCCCTGAGGGACCCCCCTGAGGGACCCCCCAGAGAGACCCCTGAGGGACCCCCCTCGACCCCCGGGCACTGCGATCCGAGCACAACGAGAGGCTCTTCCTGGAGAGAACCAGGCCTGTGGTGCTCAGGGAGGAGGATCTGGAGAGGGAGCCCTGAGAGACCCCCCCTGAGGGACCCCCTGAGGGACCCCTGAGGGACCCCCCTGAGGGACCCCCCTGGGGCTGGAAGGTCTCACAATATAATTTATGTTTCACTGGAACATCATTGTGGTGGATTTGTGGTGAATTTCTCTTGGCCCAGAGCCAGAAATGGGGACCCCCCAACCCGGTCAGACCCTTCAGGTTAAACCCAGAGTGGAATTTGTGCTTTTTATTGGGGGTGGAGGAATTGGGGGGTGGGGGGGGGTGTTTGTCTCGAAATCAGGGAATGGGGTGGCCCAAATCCCCCTCCCAGACAGCTCCGACCCCTCCGGGCTCGGGGACCTCATCGGACCACCCGGGACCACCCAATCCCCCCCAGACCTGGGACCACCCAACACCCCAGATTCCCCATCCCAAACCCCCAGAGTGCCCATCCCAGATCCCCACATTGCCCATCCCAGACCCCCCAAATTCCCATCCCAGACCCCCCAGAGTGCCCATCCCAACCCCCCAGATTCCCCATCCCAGATCCCCCACATTGCCCATCCCAGACCCCCCCAAATTCCCCATCCCAGACCCCCCAAATTCCCATCCCAGACCCCCCCAAATTCCCCATCCCAGACCCCCCAAATTACCCATCCCAGACCCCCCTGCCCATCCCAGACCCCCAAATTCCCATCCCAGAACCCCCTGCCCATCCCAGAGCCCCCAGATTCCCCATCCCAGACCCCCCAATGCCCATCCCAGACCCCCCAAATTCCCCATCCCAGACCCTCCCACATTTCCCATCCCAGACCCCCTGCCCATCCCAGACCCCTCAGGATCCGCCCTGCCCGGAACCCCCAGACCCCCAATCCCGCGCCCCCGCCCCTCCATTCCCAGGGTCCCCGTCCCCCCAAAAGACCCCCAGGACCCCCTCTCAGGCCTCGCCCCTCCCCCCAGGCCTCGCCCCTCCCACCCGGCCCCTCCCCCGCCCCTCCCCCGCCGCAGTGCAGCGCTCTCCGCGCACGCGCCCGATCCCCGCGCTCCCATTGGCCGGCGGCGCGGGAGCCGCGCTCTGATTGGCTGCGGCCGCGGGGGGGCCTGGGACGCGCGCGGCGGAGGGGGCGGGGCGAGGCGCAGAGCGCGCCTCTCATTGGCCGGCGCCGCGCCGGTGGGCGTGGCCTCGCTCCCTCCCGCCTTCCCCCTGCGCGGGCGGGGCCGCCGCGCGCCGCGTCCCCATTGGCCGCGCCCCGGGGAGGGGAGGGGGTGGGCGGAGCCGCCGCGCGCGCGCCCGGCTCCCCCTGCGCCGATTGGCTGGGCGGGCGCGGGGCCGCAGCGCCATTGGCCGGGCGGGCGCGGGGGCGGGAGCCCTGCGCGGGGCCGGGCGGCGCAGGCGCGGGGCGGGCGCTCCCTGAGGCGGCGGCGGCTCCGGAGGCTCCTTCGGCTCCCTTTGTTTCCCCCGCCGGGCCCGGGCCAGGACCCGCCCAGCCATGGGCCCCGTCGAGCTCCGCCAGGGCTCCCTGCACAGGGGCCCGGCCCCAGTAGGCACCGGCGGGGGCGCGCGGGCGGGTACGGCGGCCCGCGAGGGTCACGGGCCTTTGTTCGGGGCCCGGGGTCCCCCCCTCCCTCTCCCCCCTCCCCACATCGGGGATCGGCGTTTTGGGGGGGTTTCGTCCCCGCCTCAGCATCGCCCCCCTTTGACCCCCTCAGCATCGCCCCCTTGACCCCTCCTCAGCATCGCCTCCCTTGACCCCCCTCAGCATCGTCCCCCTTTGATCCCCATCAGCCCCCCCTTTGACCCCTCCTCAGCATCGCCCCCTTGACCCCTCCTCAGCACGCCCCCTTTGACCGCCCCTCAGCATCGCCCCCTCCGGATCCTCCCATCATCGACCCCTCCACCACCCCGCATCGCCCTCCATTGACCCCCCTTTCTCCTTCCCCCCAGATTCCCCCTCGGCCCCCATTTTCCCCCTTCATCCCCCTCCTTTCCCCCTGGCCCCCCAATGCCCCTCCTCCTTCCCTCCTCCCCCAGCGCCGCCCCCACTCCCCTTTCCCACCCCCAATCTCCCCCTTTCCCAACCCCCATTCCCTTTCCCAGCCCCCCAGCAAATTTCCCCTCCCCCTTTCCCCCTTTCCCTCCCTCCTCCTCCAGACCCCCTCAAAAGGGGTTTTGTGTCCCCCTCCCCCAATCCAGCCCTTCCCTTTTCCCCTCCCCCAAATCCTCCCTGGGAATTCCCTCTTTGTCCTTCCCAGGACACCAACCCCCCTGGATCCATAGGGGCTCCTCGAGTCCCCGGTTTTGGGGGCTGGGGAGTTTATCTCAGTCCATAATGGAAGTTATTCCGGGGGGGAGGTGAATTAATCCCTTTAATTAAGGGATTTAATTAAAATTTATGAGCCCGTTCCCCTCCCACCTCTCCCAACTCATTTTCCCTTTCCCACTTCCCAAATCCCTCCCAGCCTCTGCCTCTCCAAACCCCCTCAGGAACAGGAAAATCCCCCCCCCCCCAATTACTGGGATCAATCCCCGTTAATTAATGAATGAATTCCTTATTTTGGGGGGGGGGGGCGTGGCTTTTTCCCCTCCTGGATTTCGGGATTTTGGGATTCCTCGCCTGGAATCCCATTCAGGAATCCAGGGAGGATCCCGAGGTGCTGAGGGAGGGGAGGGTCGGTGGGACTGGGGCAGGTGGAATCCTCCTTTCCCGGGATAATCCCTTGGGAATTGTTCCAGTGGGTTTTGATCCGGGATCCGGGAGCGTCTCCTCGCAGATTCCCCCAAAGCCAGGAGGAAATTCCCGGTTTTTTGGGAGCCCTGTGCTCCCTCAGTGCTGCCCAGGGCCCTTCCCTGTGCTCCATTCCCAACATTCCTGACCCAATTCCCAACATTCCCAACCCAATTCCCATCATTCCCAACCCAATTCCCGACATTCCCAGCCCAATTCCCAACATTCCCAGCCCAATTCCCATCATTCCCGACCCAATTCTCGATCCAATTCCCATCATTCCCGACCCAATTCCCGCCATTCCCAACCCAATTCCCGACATTCCCAGCCCAATTCTCATCATTCCCAACCCAATTCCCATCATTCCTGACCCAATTCCCGACATTCCCGACCCAATTCCCGCCATTCCCGACCCAATTCCCGACATTCCCGACCCAATTCCTGCCATTCCCAACCCAATTCCCAACCCAATTCCCGACATTCCCAACCCAATTCCCAACATTCCCGACCCAATTCCCGACATTCCCAGCCCAATTCTCATCATTCCCAACCCAATTCCCGACATTCCCGACCCAATTCCTGCCATTCCCAACCCAATTCCCGACCCAATTCCTGCCATTCCCAACCCAATTCCCAACCCAATTCCCAACATTCCCGGCCCAATTCCCGTCATTCCCAACCCAATTCCTGACATTCCCAACCCAATTCCCAACCCAATTCCCGACATTCCCAACCCAATTCCCGACCCAATTCCCACCATTCCCAGCGCAATTCCCGACATTCCCAACCCAATTCTCGCCATTCCCAACCCAATTCCCGACCCAATTCCCGCCATTCCCGACCCAATTCCCGCCGTTCCCGACTCATTCCCGGTGTTCCCCCAGCCCGGCGTTAGGAGCTGATCCCTGTTGGAGGTGTTGGAGACCCCCATGCCCGTAGGTAGGTGCTGGAATTCGGGAATTCCCACCCCCCCCTTGCCCTCTCCCAGGATTTGGGAAGTGCCATCCCGTGGGAGTTGGGAATGCCACGTTCCCCCTGGAATTCTTGGGCGGGATTCCCGCTCCAGGTTCCTCGGGGGGGGGGTTGGGAATTGGGGGGAGGTTCCCAATTGGGGAAGGGAATTCCTGGATCACGGATTTGGGAAGGGGGTTCCTAGATCAGGGATTGGGGAAGGGGGTTCCTGGATCATGGATTTGGGAAGGGGGTTCCCATCCCATGGATTGGGAAGGGGGTTCCTGGATCAGGGATTTGGGAAGGGGGTGCCCATCCCACATCCCTCCAGCCTGGACTGGTGGGGGGGAGATTCCCATCCCTCCTTCCCAAGGGGTGGATTGGGAAGGGGATTTTCCTCGCTCTCATTCCTGGATAATGTGGGTTTGGGAGCGGAATTCCTCAGGGATGGAATGGGGAGGGAATTCCTGGTGCCTCTGGGATGGAGTGGGGAGGGAATTCCTGGTGCCTCTGGGATGGAATGGGGAGGGAATTCCTGGTGCCTCTGGGATGGAGTGGGGAGGGAATTCCTGGTGCCCAAGGATGGATTGGGGATGGAATTCCTGGTGCTTCTGGGATGGAATGGGGAGGGAATTCCTGGATGGACCAGGGGGAGGGGGTTTTTTTTGCCCCCTATTCCAGGACCAGGCAGGGTTTTCTCCCCCCTCCTTCCTTCCCTGGGATCCCAGCCCTGATCCAGGTGC